TTGGGCAAGCTGCTGCTAAGCATGCAGTGTTGGGGGGCTTGGGGTGGTGCTTCACTGAGGGGGGCAGAGATACAGGTCCTGCTCACCCTTGCAGTGCTGCTGGCAGTTTTCCACGTGACATGGCTGCCTGGACTTGTCAGCCCCTGCTTTAAACTACACCAGCCAGGATCTGAAAAAGCAAAGGATCCTGCAGAAAATAGGCAGAGCCCTGTCTGCATCTGAGGCCCAGGGGCACAAGGTGGGGAAGCGCAGGAGTCCTGTGTGCACAGCCCCATCCCAGAGAGACGGCTGGTCCCCTCAGGCTCCCCAGAGGCACCTGGCTGCCAGCAAGGTCTGGCTCAGCCGTGTCTCCGTGCTGCACAGGCAGCAGCCCAAGGGGCTATTGCTGCCAAGGCTCTGCAGGGCCACGTGGCAGCAGATCCCCGAGAGTGGCCTGTCACAGGGGCTGCACAGCCTGCAGGGCTGGTGCGGCTGCAGGAGCCCAGAACCCACTCTGCTGTGGTCCCTCACTCGATGCCCCCCGCTTCGGGGTCTGAAGGAGGAAAGGCGGCACTTTTCCCTCCTGCCACTATCCAGCAGTGAAGGGTGAAAGGTGGGTGCTTCCTCTCCCTGCCTGCACAGCCCTGTTTTGGGAGGGAGAGGATGGCAGGGCATGTGGGGTGCTGGGATGGACTTGCCTGGGTTCTCATGTTAACTTGCATTGAAAAAACAGAGCTCCGTTCAAAGTACGCGCCTGCACCATGCTGCAGCTCATGAAAGCATGGTGCATGCATGTGGGTTTTTCATGGGCGTCCTTGGACTGGCTGGGGGTCCCTGCCAGAGCTGGCACCGCCTGACATTGCCTAGAGTATGGGCTCGAAATAGTGCTGCATGGCAGGGAGCATGGTGATGAAGCCTGGCCTCTCCAAACCACCATCCCCAACCCCCCCATACTTACGGGGCTCGTGGATGCCTGGGTAGTCACTGAACTCCAGCACATAGAGGTGTCGGCCCTCGACGCTGCGGCCAATGCTGTAGATGCGGGTGATGTAGGGGCACTGGCTCTGCACACGGAATAGGGCCTGCACCATCTCCTCATAGCGATGGTGGAGGAAGCTGAGGGCGGCCGCCCCCTCGAGCAGGAGCAGCGCTCCCACGAGGGACCGCAGCCACCGAGCCATCCTCCCACGGCGCTGCGCGCCCGCACCAGCTCCGGGCCCTCGGCTCCTTCCCAGCCGGCAGCTTAAAGTGCAAACTCCAACCAGCTCTTTCCAGTTCCCGAGTGCCAGCCCCCTGCACCTGCGGGCGGGGGGCGGCGGGAGCGGGGCTCGCCGGGGCCTCGCGGCACAGGAATGCTCCCCCCGCCCGCCCGCCGCCGAGCCCGCTCTCCGCCGTCGGAAGAGGTTCCCCCCCTGCTCCAGCTCACTTATTAACCGGACAGTAAACAGGCCCCCGCAGCCACTGGCTGTCACTGCAGAAGAAGCGCAGGGCTGGAAAACTGGCTGCGGAGGGCGCTGGGGCTGCCAAGAGCAGGACAAGCGGCGGGGCGGGGGAGTGCGGAGGGGGGCGGCGGGTGGGGAATGCCTGTCGCAGAGCCCTTCCGTTGGACCCGAGCCGAGCGGGGTGAGGATGGCGGCGGGGGGGCCGCGGTGCCCGCACGGCTCCCGCAGCCCTGCCCGGCTCTGGCAGGTCCCGCCGCTCCTCCGCGGGTCCCGGACTCCCCAGCTCGGAGCCGCGCCTGCTCATCTGCCCCATCCCGGGGAACCAGAGGGAGGCATCACAGCCGGCTCCTCTGCCCAGGCAGTCCCGCTGCTCCGGGGTAAACGGAGGCAGGGGCAGCATCGCCCTCCCCACAGCTGCCTACCCAAGCAGCCGAGCCAGTATGTTCAGGGGGAGGACAGGGCAACGTAGTGTTTTGAGGCAGAAGTCTGCTGCGCAGGTTACAGCACGGAGAGCTCTGCTCGGAGGTCTGGTCTCACCCTGCTGTGTGCTGTGATACTGAGCTCCAACAGGGACTGGACAACTATCAGCAGAAGAGAGCTCAACAGCTTAAGGGCAGATGAAAATGCTCTATTGTCTGTTAAGAAACTGCAGGCTGTTTCTGGATTTGGGGGAAGCTTGTTCTTCTCCATCACTTCGAGGTCCCTGTGCTCCTCTCAGGGGCAGCCTTGCTCTGCAGCCTTACCCCGTGGGGCTACAACTCCAGCAGCTTAGTGGCTCTGGAAAACATCTGTATAAGGACATCCCTGACATAGAACCCAAACATGGGCACAAGCAGCCAAAAGATTTACTGCCATGGCTGGACATGTGAGGAGAGAGGCTTCCTTTGCTAACATGAGTGTGCCATGCTGCTCTGCCCGGGTCACACTAGAAAGGAGCTCCTCCTGCCATCAGCAATGGGATTCTCAGGATACTCAGTGCCATGCTAAACATCCGCCTTCCCTGCAACCTTGACACGGATCCACACTGCATTGCTCTAATGACAAGGATTGCTGTAGCTGCCTCTTCCCCCAACAAAGCATTCTCTACAAGTGCTGCCCAGCACTGCTGCTTTCCTACCTGTCCTCCACATCTGCTTGGGCCACCGACCACCTTTCTGCCTCAATTTCCCAGGAAGAGCACCAGTAGAACTAGGGAGCCCTGTTCATAGGATCTAACACAAGCAGTGCAGGCTGGTGGGCAAAGCATGTGGCTTGCCTCCTCCTGCCTTGACTTACTTAGACTTTCCGGCTTCCAACTTTATTCTGTCACAGTCCACCATAATGCTCCTTTCTCTCCTTGTCGCTGTGCCTGCTTGGTCTTCTGCCTCATCTGCACAGTACCCTCCTCTCAATTATTTCTTCCCACGCCCCCCCCCCCCCAAAAAAAAGAGAAAAAAAGTCCTGTTTTTGAACAAATGTCTCTTGAAGACATGAGAGAAAAAAAAATACTATACATAAAGACAGCAGTGGCCATATTAATACCTTCTCCCAGTTAATCATCCCACCACATCCCTGCATATCAGTCAGTCTCACACCTTCAGGAGCAGGAATGGCATTGCACCATCTTTAATTGGGTGACAAGAAGCGGTGCTGAGGTGCCAGCTTCTGCTAGCACTTTAGGAAACCAAGGAAATGTAGCTGAGGCTTTGGCGGGGCATGGTGACCATGGGTATGGTAGGACAGCTCTTATCTCTGCAGCAAGATGTATCTGGTGGTATTCTGTAGAGCTGGCAGCTCATGCAGCAGTGGGAAGTGCCCTTGCCTCTTTCACATCACTGCTCTCAGGGCTGCTGTGTTCCTGTGGAGCTGCTCTCTCCCCAGCTTTCAGCGACCAAGGCAATGCAGAAGAGGTGGGCAGGGTTCCAGCGCTAGCCAGTGTTACTTGGCAGCCAGCGGGTGCTAGGCAGGGCTGTAGTAAAACAGCACAAACACCCATGTTTGGTCTATTTTTCCCCTCCCCATACTCTTCCCAGGCTGTTTTGAGTATCCTGGTACAGCAGTGGCAGAGCTGGAACTGCAGTGCTGCCAAGGGACACATGAGAAAGGCTCTCACTTTCCTATGGAGACAAGCAAAACTGATGTGAGAAACAACAGAAAAAAGAAATGCCAGACCATTAGATCCAAAAAAGGAGCCATGAGCAAAATCTGGGGTGGGTGTAGAACGAATCTCACGCACTACTAGTGTAGGGATTGAGGCAGCCTGTTATCGGGCAGCAGGTTTAAATCAAACACAAGGAAATAATTTTGCACACACTGAAATTACCTCATCAAAGCTGAAAGTTATATGAGTGCAAAAGAGCATAGGATGAATTCATAGAGAATGGGGCAGCTTCAGCTATTAGTTATGCAGATCCAGAAGCAATTGCTCATAAATTTCCTATGCCCCTGATGGCTAGAAGGATTATGTTCCTTCTCTAACTCTCCATCTGAATCCTCACGCACCACTCAGCTGGAGACCAGTGCCAATGCACTGCATGTCTGATCTGACCTAACACAATTCTTACTACATTCTAGGAAAACAACATGGTAATGAAGTTTTAAGCCAATGGTAAATTTGGACATGTTAAAAAGCACTGATGAAAGCAGAAACAAACGATATAAGACATTAGCTCTTAGAAACAGTGCAAGAAATAAACAAAGACTTAATTTGGAAAATGCAGCTAATACATCTGGGATGGATCATCCGCTTCCCACTCCCAGATGTTCAAAGATGGAGAGACCTTGAGGCGGTGGGAGAAAGAGGGCGAGCAGGAACGTGCTGTGCCACAGTGGCACGAGTGAGAAGAATGTGAATGCGATCCCTGTCCCATCCTTCGTTGCGCAGCTGAGCGTTGCAGGCAGCAAGGAGCCGATCCCTCCAGAGCTGCCCATGGAAAGACTCCACCTGGTGCATTTGCTTTAATTCTGGCTGTACTGTTACAAGAGGAAGATTGGAAACTGAGGAAAGTTGAAGCTAAGAGCCGTAAGAGCTAAGAGCAAACTGGGGGGAGTGCGCACTGAAATGAAAATGAACCATGACAAGCATGTTTGCCTTGGCAGAGATACAGCTCTGGCTACACACAGAGGCAGGCAGGCACATGGCCCTGTGAACCAGGGGCACAGCCCCCCCCATCCTTCACTTGGTTTTGGGGGTTTTAGTGCCAGTGTGATTCTGGTGGTGCTGCCTGAGGGAGAGAGAAGGAAAACGAGGACAGAGGACTGTAGCCATCGAGTGTGTGACAGGGGACGACAGGCTGCTCTGGGGAGGTCAGAGTAAAGCTAAAGCAAGAAAAGATAGGGTTTGGGCACTAGCAGGCTTCTGGTGAACAAGTCCACCTGTGTGAAGTGCCCAGAGCTTGGGGTGGACCAGAGTGCCTTTCTCTGCCAGGAGAGCATGCTGCCAATCCACCAGGAACTTCAGATCTGACCCAGGAGAACAGCAAGGAACTGGCAAGAGAGGAAATCCCATCTCAGGACTTTTCCATGTTTAGTGCCAGAGGCTCCATTCCCAATACTGGAGAGTTCCTGTCTTCTGGAAAACAGCACAAAACTTTTCTGGCATCAGTTCAGAAGTCTTTATTATGATAAGGATACAGAGACTTGTGCGTGCACCGAAACAAAGATCCATTTTATCAGGACTGAACCACAAAAAGCAAGTGCATGGGCTGGGTAGCAGGGACTGTTGTCCTCCTTGTGTCTCCCCCAGCCCCTCCTGCGAAGGCTGTTGAGCCCCATGGTACAGCCAGCAGCTCTGCAGAGCCTGCATATCCCCCCTGGCACAGAGCATGGGAAGAACTGGGATGGAGAAGGAGGGAGCACACATCCAGCTGAGAGCTGTTCTTGGAGAAGCTGGGGAGCCCTGGCCAGCACCAACACTGCAAATCAACCTCTAACCACAGAGGTGATGACCTTGCTTCCGAGAGCTTTCTTGCAAGTGGAGGCTCCACTGTGCTTTGCTGTAGGGCCAGAGAAATCAGCTGTAGCCTGTGCAGAGGAGAGCTCACTGTGTTGAGGAGAGCAAAGGGCACTCGGACCCTGAAGTGGGGACTGGTTGTTTTCTGCAAGAGCTGTTCATGCTGCCGGCACCCATCCTCTTGTGAGAAGTACTGATAGTTTTGCCTCACACCTGACACTTGGGTGACTGTGCGAGAGCTTGTGGAAGTCATCAGTCCCAGAAAGACAGGAGCTGCTCCTGCACCCTGCAAAAAGCTGTCTAATCCTCCTGCAAGAAACCTTCCCAAAAATGGACCACTCAGTGTTTTAACCCAAAGTAGAGACACTCATCCCACCGCACTGCAGCACATCTCAGGGCTTCCTGTGGCAAAACAGGAGACACCAACGTCTGGAATCTCAGCAGCCCAGCAGAGTGGATAGTGAAAAAATACTTGCAAGACAAGAACATGTGGTGTTAAAAGATGCTTTAACCCAGAAGAGCAAAACTGTACAGGAGCCAGTGGCTGCAAATTAAAGCCAGAAGCTACCAAATCAGAAATAAGGCACAGATAATTATCAGTGAGGCAGATCAACTGCATTAACAAGTGATACCATATTACTGGCATATTTGGAAATTCCCCCCACTATCATTAGTGACCTTCACATATGCTTTGGGTAGCTCTGCAACAGATATTTCAGCTGCATACAGCTGGGTCAGATGCAGCACAGAAGCAAAGAAATTAATGTTTATTAAACTTGAACTCTTTGACCAAGAAATCTGAATAGCCTCCATGGACAAAGTCCATCAATAGCAGGAGAAGTGGGGAGAAAAATCATACGCTTTTCTCGGAAGGTTCAAGAACAGCCATTGATATGCAAGGGTATATCAATACCTGGGTATTCAGGGTATATCATCCCTGATAGGATGTCTTCAGTCAACCAATTCCTGGAGCCTCAGCCTGCTCAAGTGGTTTTTAAATAGTGTGTCTGGTGCCACCTTAGGAATTCTAGCTCTGGAGAGACTGGCTCATAAATGTGATATGAAAGTCATAAGCATTAAAAACAATGCAACATTTCATATTGTTTATCTTAGTTTGGGGCCTGAGGTTGCACTCAAGTCATGCTTACAGCTTAAAAAAACAGACTCAAACCAAAAGGTAAGAAGAAAGACAGGAGGGAGTAAGCAAAGATACCAGCTGATCACCTGACCCCAGAGTCAAGAGCTAGCAATATTAATACTGTGGAACTTGCCATAAAGATAGAGAACATTGCTAAAACTCTCCTTCCAGGTTCTGTATTTGACCTTTTCCTTTGGCATAAACCCTCAGCAGGGACCAGGAGAGCAGACTGGCACAGGTGTTGCCTACACACCAGCTTCCACATAGAGTTTCTTCATCAGTTTCCAACTTGTCCCAATGAAACTGCTAGTTCCAGCATCACGGACACAATAAAGCAGCTGCCAGATCCCTGAGGAAGTCTCAGGAGAGGAATTGCCATTCTTCAGGTTTCCACACTGATGCACCAGCTCATGTGGGGAGCTTCTCCAGGTCACCTTCAGTCTACTGTGAAGACTCCATAGACAAGGGAAGTGTGTGTGTGTATCCTGAGTTCCTGAGTACATCCATATGCAGGATGGGGTGTGTTGCAAGTGTGGCTGACGGGGGAGCTGAAGCAGCTTTAATCACACGTTACTCCTGCATGCTTTCCAGCCATGACCAAAACCTACTGTTAACCTCTCCTCTACCTATCTTTGCTGAAAACAACAGAAGGAAAATTCCATCTCTAGATGAATTAAAACATCTCAATGCATTTGCAGATAAAGCAATAACTGGTCACTGGACAAACAATATGGGAAAGTGTCATTCACAGGTTGATCTTGCTTGATTAATACATGTTTCAATGCAGTCATGTGGAAGGCAAAGAGGCTCATGTTGAGACAGTGATGTATGGTGTGAGACAGTAGCCGTTCTGGAATGCAATGACTGGAAAAATAAAGCCAAGTTACAATACCCCAACTGGAAAATCAGCCCCAAAACTTTCTCTTAACTGAGCAGATCTGGCCCGGAGATATAGAAATGGGGAACATAGAGCATAGATCAAACCCAGAGGGTGTTACTTTTATATACACTATTAGTGACTCTACTACCACTCACTTTTGAAAACTTTGGTGTCCATGTTTCAGAAAGATGTAAAAATTTTCAAAGAAGTGGTGTCAAGAGCTACAAGTGGGGTCAGCACAGAGCACTTTACAGACTGAAGGTCAGTCTGCTTAGAATGACAGAATGATGACTTGCAAGCACCAACAAGGAAAAAGGGATTTTGGTAGCAGAGACTTACTCAGTCTTTCTGAAATGGGCAGGACAAGGTCTGTCAGAAGCTGAAGCCAGCTAATTCAGAGGAAAAATAAGACACAGATTTAAAAAAAAAAAAAATTAACTGCCCATAGATCTTACACATCACAGGGTATATTTTTCCCTTACCTTTAGGTCCTTCCACATGTTATGACTCCTACTTCCAGGCATGAAGTAGAAATAACTTGGGGGACACTTTGAAGCCTGCACCATACAGAGGGACAGGGTGGGAGGGCATGAAAACCCCAAGCTCGGTGTCTGTGCTTGCCTAAAGGATGCAGCTTTACTGGGGTTGCACATCCTGATCCCTCTGTGCCTTCTACACCTTTGCTCAGGGAAACGAGCAAAGGTGTGTGTTTGCCATGTCTTTCTCTCACAGTATCAGTTTTCTTTTGGCCTCCAGCACTTGCAAGTCATTAGGAGAAGAGATTTCCAAAATTTCATGGGAGGAAGACAGGCACCAGTGGTTTCCAAGTGTTCTTATGAAAATGGATTTCTGACCTACCTCTTTCCTGGGGAGGGGGCACCAAGGAATGGAAAGTGAAAGAAAGTGATTCATAAACCTGATCAGTGGCATCACCTTAGCTGTGTGCTAGAGGATGAGCTGCGGTACTTGCATTCACAAGCCCTGGGTCTTATGGTCCTGGGATAAACTTAAGCCATGAGGGAAGGAAAGGTGAATTTTCACTGATTTTGCTGGTGGCAGGAGTGGTTCAATCTGTGTGTGCTCATGCTAGTTAACTGCTGCCAGCTGCCTATTTATAAAGGAACTTCACCTAATAAACATTTTCTCTAGATCAGAGGCTGCCTTATGATCAGCACAGTGACACTGGATTGCTTTAGTGAGTATGTACCTGTAGGCATGCAGATCACACCAGAGTCCTTCTAGGCCTAAGCACTCACTACTGGCCAAGGATCCTCGGCCAGTACAAGCTGTTCCTATAAAAAACAGCAATGCCTGGCTGGGAATTCGTGTCAAGATGTACTCTAGGAACATGGGAATGGCTCAGTGAACAGTGAGCCAACTTTGGTCCAGCAACATCAGGAAGACGTGGGAAACAGGCTTCTTACCACCTGCAAAAGGAGCAGATAGCCACCAGAGGGCTGATGACCACCAGCACACTCGGTTTCTTCATCCTCATCCCTTCTTTTCCCAGGGTGGCATTTGGGAGCCTGGCCAGCCTTTGGGGATCAGCTGGGTGCAGGTGGCCTTACCAGCTGTAGGGCTGTGAGGGCTCAGGGCATGGAGAAGTGAGCAGAGGGTATGGGAAGGGCTCTTAGGAATAGCTTCAGTGAAGGACGAGCAGGATCACCCTGGGTGTGATCGTTCCCAAGAGCTCAGTGGGATGCATGACCCTGAGATTACCCTTGCAAGAGCACTGGCTCCCAAAGATTGCTGCGGTTTTTCTCTTTATAATGCTGTGCACAAGGCAAAAACCAACCAGCAGCAACGTTTCACTGAATGAAAGTACGACCCATTCAAGGGGGGGGGGAACTCCCACTCGTCTGTCCTTGGCAGAGAGAGGTGGTGAGCCTGATGTCCCAACCTCTGTCAGTGCGAGGCAGAAGAAATAAATGCCCTTGTTGTACACAGTCAGTAGCTTCAGTGAGAGGGGCTCTGCAGTACAGCCTGCTCTGCCGGGGTCTAGCCCTGAGTGGCCGTGGTGACATGGCCTCTCTTCTCCTAATGCTCGTCCTAAACAATCCCCTTCTGCAGGCACTTGGGCTTGTGGAAGAGAAGCCAGGCAAACAGGAGCACAGACGCCAGCACAAGGGAGCACAGCACCATAAGCCCCACATAGCTGCCGTAGGAAAGAGGGGGTACAGCAGGCTCCTCTGCAGGGATCATGTTGGTCAGGTTCAGCATGTAGCCAAGGGTCCAGCCTGCATCGCTGCTGCCGATCTGAAATGGGAGAGGAGCGGAATCAATGCTGGGACATGCAAGGGCTGCCTGCATCATTGCCAGGGCAGTGGCACCCCTGGAGACAAAGGCTGTGCAGCAGAGGCTGCAGTTAGCTGCCCTCCCCGCCATGGAACACACCTTCCCAAGGAAGTGGATCCTTTGCCAGTTGTTTTCAGTGAAGTCATAGCCATTTTCCAGGAGGGAGAGGATGTAGGCTCCAGAGAAGCAATATTCACTCAGGTACTTTTCTTTTATTTGATGATATGCTGTCTTCACCTAGGGAGGGAGGAAGTCATCAGGCTGATCAACACAGCTTCCCGCTGCTCCAGCTTGCACCTAAGCATCCACTGCAGGTTCTCGGGAATATTTCCCCTCTTGCCTTGGAAGTTACACGCCAGCATTTACCCTACAGAAAAATACCAGCAATTCTTGCCAACCAGCAGCCCCAGCATGCTGCCACTGTACTGCTCACCTCATGCCAAGGCCGGGCGCAGAAGCTCTCAATGGTGGTGGCCACTTTGTCCAGGGCAGCGGGGCTTTGTTCACTGGTAAGATTCAAAAAGTTCATCACAAAGTAGAAAGCAGAAAAGGCCTGAAGGAGAAAGAATATTTTAACCTGATGGGGCTTCAGTATGATCAGGATAGCAGAAAGCCTGCAGATGAAAATGGTTTTATTTAGAGATGGAGAAATGTAAGAAGTAACACCACACATATAAAAGTAGGGATACTTTCAAGAGCAATGTCACTTGAGACATGCCCTGCAGAGCTGATGAGCTAAGGATCCCAAACAGAAGGTGGAGGTAGGAACTTCACTGACCACAGTATCTGAAGAACTACAGTAAATCCCTCTCCTCTATGCACTGGTGCCAGAGTGGCACATAGTGAATGCCTCTTGCTGTAGCGACCACGATCCCATTTTGGCAACTGAATGAGACGAGCATGCAGCCAATATCGCCACAAATAGCAGAGGTCTTGGTCTGAAAGGACTGTATGCAACCCCTGAATGTAACCCAAAGTCCATAAAACCCAGTGCCAATAGTTGATAGACAGGGGGCAGTTTATGAACAGGGCAAAGGGAGTATTAACAGTTCCCTCAGAAACCCTCACAGCCACTGAAGTCGCACAGCTGTAGGGCTGATGTTCAATGTGGTGCTGCATATGATATGTGTTCAGAGTGTGCACTGGCTCCTCATCACATCTGGGAAGCAGACAGGCGAGCTGACTGATTTGTTCCTGTAGTGCTCACACACTTCTGGATGAATTTAAGATCTGGTGCCGTCATTGACATCAGGAGACAAGGTTTATAAGAGAGTGTCATGCATGGCCTGCAGCAGGCTGTCCTACCTCTGGTGCTGGCCATCAGGAAGGACTACTTGAAAAATGAATCAGTAAATGGAGCACCCCAAGGACATGCCCACAGGAATGGGTTAGAATGGGAACAGTGCAGTAATGGTAGGCCAGTATTTACTGGGGCAGCCCTTACACATGTAGTCCTCACAGCAAGTGCAGCACCAATTTTGTAGTTATATGTCCGAAAAATGATCTTGTAAATGATTTCCTGCACCAGCCACGAAGAATACACTCTAGCATTATTTTTAGTTTCTGCTCTTTTGATGCTCTGGGTTACAAAGAGTTGAAGGATGAGAAGACTTACCCCAAAGTCCCCTTGTAATGGAGGTAGGTATATCCCATTGAAGGAGCAACTGGAGTAAGGACAACTGGTTTTGTTAAAGAGTTTCTGGATGTTTCTTCGGCACTTCTGATAATCTCCCTCTCCCTGTATATATAGCTGGCTGAAAGGGAATTGCTTTTTCTTGGCTGATGTACAAGGGGTTTTGAAGAGGTCACTTATATTTACAGTCCTCTGATACCCCTGGTGAAAGCATGGATCAAGGAGGCTGCTGTTCTCCATGGTCTGAAAGTAGAATCAACCCAAGCTGTTACACTTCACTCTGGAGTAATACTTGGGAAAGAGTCACAAAGAGCGGCCACAAGACCACAAGTACATCACACCAAGGTACACACATCAGGTCAGAGTGATGAGGATGGTTTAAGACATTGGCAGTGATTTGGGGGATGTGGGTACTGCCACAGGCTCCCTGTAGGACACTGGGAAAATTACTTTCAGACACATTTTGTGAAGGTGCTGTTGATTTGGGATTCTCAGAGACAGTGAAACATTACCCCCCAGAAGTACTTCAGTTAAGCGCGTACTACTGCTATCCCATGCCCAGGAATCAAGGCACCTCAAATTGGTAGTACTTTGAAAATGTTGACTGTGATCGCTTTGGGCATCTGTCCAGTCTTTATGGAGGATAATGACATTCCCAAACCCAGACTAAGGGATGAGACATTTAGCTGGGACACAGAAAGTTGTACACCAGTATGTCAAAGCTGAGAGAGTCCAGGATCTCCACTGGCATTCACAGATGTACTTGCCTGTAGATCCTCGGCCAGTTTCTGTTGCAGAGCCTGGTCCTTCCCATAGCACAGAAAGCTGTGAGTATACACTAAGTAATCCTTCCCATAGAGACGGAAGTAGAGCAGGTTCTCTGGGGACTCAGAAGAGAGTTCATTTGGTACAAAAGTAATCTGAGTTGAGGCTCCTCCAAGGTCCAGTGCTCCTGATGTCTCACTTATGGATTTCAGGGAATGTAGAAGTTTTTTCCAGCCGGACTTTAAAAAAAATAAAAATTCAAAAGTAAAACCAGGTACATCAGGCATGAGGGGGGAAAAATAGACAAAGGGGAAAAAAAAAAAAAGAGGAAGACCTCTGAGGAGAGAAGCAGAAACACAGAACACAGGAAAGGCAGGAAGAGCTGGAGGGGGCTCAGAAAGACAGGTCGTTCATGTCTGGGTGTTTGCAGGAGCACTAGGAATATGAAATCTAATACAACTGTTATGAGAAAAACCAGTCAATTTACTGTTTCAGCTCCCAGATGATTTATAAGCTCAATGATAAAAAATCATTGTCAAAGTTTGCAGGCACCGAAGTATTTTAGATCAGGAAATGAGGAAGATACAGCAAGTGGCTTGCTGTACCCAAGCAAAGTTATCAAAGATGCTGGTGTTTTATTTCAGTGCTTTAAGCCTGACTACAGTGGGACATCCTGATACCAGTACTCCTCAGGACGTACTCATGATAATTGCTGAGGCAAGATGTGCAGCTTCCTGATCTCTGGTAAACAGCTTACAAGAGAAGACAGTGGCTGCGACACCCTCCTGCAAGGCACAATTTACAAAGTGCTGAAAGGCAATGATTCAAATATGGACTTGCTGTTGATACAGTACCTGCTTGAAATTGCCCAGCAGGTAGTTAATGGTGATCCATCCATAGGCTCCTTCTTCCTGACCACTGATGATTCTGGCACCCTGGAAGTTGAAGGGAGCTGAACGTAGTGTCTTCTCTACTGAGGACAAGACTTTGTCAGCTGCACTTTTATTCTCCAAGCTGGATGAATGGAAGAAAGGATGGAGTGACTCTGGCTGACAGCTCTTTGCAGCCAGTGGGCTTTATTCTGAGTACACAGGCTGCAACTCCCCACCAAGTATTAGAACAGAACAGTCATTCATATGGGTAAATCCAGCTCTAACTGTCCACCTCCCTCTCTGTCACACCTTGCAATCACAGCTGCAACCAGCTCTGACACAGATCCTGCAGCTGAGAGTGGTGCCTGGAACAGAGACCAGAGCTCTCTTGTTCTCCTGGAGCAAGTGCCCTGAAGAGACTGCACCGTGGAGATTGCTCTCACCTTTTGCCATTACCATTACAGAAGAAATCCATCCCCAGGGAGATTTCCCAGGCAATATGTATGTAAAATCAGCTCCCTGATCAGTCAGGCAAGAGGTCCAAGGCACTCCCATGAAAATCACAAATTGGAATTAAAGGAGGACATGATTATAAAGTTACCTTAGCTCTGATAATCTTGGGCTGAGTCAAGTTATGTGGGGAGCTGCAAAATGGATGGGCTCAAAAATCCTGGGTCAGGCCTAATACCAGACTGTGGGGGATGTCAGAGCATCCCCTGAGCATCAGATCGGGCACTGCTACCCTCTTGGTGTCTGCGCTGCATATAGTGGTGGAGATGATGGAAGGTTGGACTGAGTGGAGATGGACCTGCTGGACAAGTAAGGGACGAGCCCAGGGAGACTCGGGAGTCAGAGAAGCCAGCAGCAGCAGAGGGTATCGGGGCAGTGTGATCTGGCAGCATGTCCAAGGTTTTTGCCCAAGAGGTCTCCACTGAGCACCCGGTCAGTACCAGGCACAGTGCTGCAGGTGAATGGGACAAGCTCTGCAGTACCTGAGAAGCCGCATGCCAGCAGTTGCTCCGAGGTAGACGGGTGTCTCTTGGTGCTGCTTTGAAGGAATCACATCTTCTGCTTGTCGTAGGCACTGTGCCAGAGAGGGACCTGCCTTCTCTGTGGCATGGGAGTAACCTGAGATCCCAGGGCCTGCAAGAAATAAGGACACTTCATTGCTCGAACTCCAAGCATACCCCCAGAGTGCTGTCATGAGCACTCTGTATTAAACTGCATTAAACTGTATCACTATCACAGGCAGCAACATCACATTCAGCCACTCTATTTCTAAGGGGTTTTTGAAACCCTACAGCGCCAACTAAGCCTGATGCATGCAGACAGCCACAGCACCCAGCATCTGCCACCCTGCTCTCCACGGAGCAGGCTATGAAGTAATGATGAGGGCTGCAATGAGACAGATAATTTGCTTAGTGTGTCCTGGACATCTGCAGACTCATCTCTGCTTCTGCCTGGGTGTACCCTGGATCTGTGCCTGAAAATCCCTGACACTTCACTGCACTGGGTCCTCCAGGGGAAGATGCTGTCATTTGTTTGTGTATTGTATGTGCACATTACAGCACTGAGTGTCTTGCAGCTATCCCCTTCATGCTAACCCAAAGAAAAATTCGTTGTCCCTCCCTGCCACATGTCCCCTGGTGAATGGACTGCCCCAGGACCAGTGCCTGCGTGAGCAGTGAAGCCCACTCTGCGCGTGCTCCAGGTTGCTGTATGCTCAATGTGCTGCTCGTGGTGTGGCATGCTGCAAGCATCAAGTGGCTGTTGCAGCAGCTCAATAACAGCACGTCTCTCCCCTGCAGTGCAGTCAGGCCTGAAAAGACCCCAGGCAGGCTCGGACAGCACTTCTCCTCCACCCAGAGTGCGCTGATCCATGGTGGTCTGTGCTGTTCCTTGTCATGTGTATCCTTGAACTTCAATTATGCCTTTCTAAACCATACACTATCTACACAGCAATTAAATAGAATAAAGAATAAATGATGACATGCATAAGTTGAGCAACCTTGGCCCACAAGCACAGTGCCTAGCTTGCAGAGAAGCCTTGAAAAGAGCAAACCATGCCCTCCCCTCTTGCTGCCTGACATTCATTGGCACTTCAGCAAGGGTGCATGCAGGCGCTTTATTTATTTAAGTACATTCTTTGGTGTAGTTTTTTCCAATAAGCACTTACTTCCAAGCATCCTAAAAACAAAGGAAAAAGTAGATCCAGCTTTCCTCCCAGGAAGGTCAGCCATACACAGCTCCCTGTGGGAAGCAGTGGGATATACACGACCTCACAGATGTAACACTGTTTTCACTATTGACCTCTTTCTCCAGGTTTTTCCTCCCACACCCTTTGACTGCATTATCACTTCTTCATCCCATCCCCTTCCATATGTCCCTTTCTTCCTCTTACCTTCGACTTTACACACCTCCACCTGCTGCACCACCCCAGTGTCATTCTCTTTCTCTGCTGGCCACTCGTACACATACAGGTTAGTGTGGGACGACCCCGCATCCAGCACAATCCCATACTGTGGGCAAAACAGACCATCATTGCACCTGAGGCACCAAATCAGACACAGCATATGCTGGTCTCCACACCTGGGTGGGACCAGAAATAAGCAGCCTATCTGGCAGCTGTGGGAACATTACTGTGTGTCATTACTCTTCTCAGGACTGCTTCAGTGCAAAGTTTCCATCAAAGGACACAAGAGCAGAAAAGCAGCAAAACATCAACTAGGAGATGATCTGTTTTTACCATGAAGATGTAAAATAAGATGTGGAGGTACATGAAGCCAGAAAGAGATGTTAGCTGGATCCAGCAAGGGCAGCAACATGTCCTGGAGCACTATACACACCTAAAACCCCCAGCTTGGCTTGTTTTCCTGTAAAAGCCCCAGCTCATAATACCTTAATATTCTTCGGAAGTGGCTTGTTTTGGGTCACTGCTACAGCAATTAAAGCAATTACAGCCAAAGTAGAGAGGAATCCCAGGATGAGTAGAATCTTTCTTGTCCAGGACATCTTTGGTTTGGTACCTGTGACTAAAGCAGAAAAAGGATGTTAGTATCCCAGCAGCCCATTTCACCTCACACCCCAAAGGTCTTCATGCACGTTCCTGCAGACCCTTTCAATTATGAAGCATCTGTCTTGGCCAATCCCTTCTCCATTTCCTGTACCATGTCGTCATGTGGGATTTCTTAGAGGTAGAGCTCAGCCCCAGTGTCCTTCCGCCATACCATATATAAAAAGCATAACTTTGTAGAATCTAAAGCTTTAACCCTTTTACTAGGAGACATTTCTCCTAGTGTACTTTGTGCTTCAGATTTTTTACAATGTTCATAACAATTTACAACATCTTCACTACAGTGACACATTTAGGAAGTATAACACTAACATTTCAGTATGTGGCAGTCAGTTCAAGCAATGCTGTCTTGCACCTTGGCAAGGCTATATAAAAAGTATGGACTGCACTACACAGGGTATTTAAGAAAGCTTTGGAGATTTCTGATGCCACTTCTCACAAGGCCAGTAAATTATAAATAGCCTGTATTTTCAGAATTGGCATAATATAGTTAAAAATAGCACACTTTGCAGAACTCAGACCAGTACGAGTCCTTAACTGTTACTGATATATTTGGTATGACCTATCTAATAAGTTAAGACTTTTATGGCTTAAAATACGTGGTTAGCAGCAGAATTCTGTAAAGAAAAGCCACTTATGGCTCATGCAAATCATTCACAACCAGTATGTCATTTGAGCTTTCAGAACCAATATCTATACCTTCATTTGTTAGTGTCTAGCATGATGCTGTCTTATGTATTTTCCTGCTTTGGATTCTCTTTCATATATCCCATAGTGGAAATCTCACTTCACAATTTAGGCTCATCCATTTTTGGTATTGTTTAATAGAATACCATCTTACAACACAAAGCTCTAGAAAGGGTGTCAGCAAAAGTATTTTCCAGATTTATAACCTAGCTGTAAATTTAACACTTGGAACTAAATAATAGTTTCATCACTCTAGGGGACACACCTGCTCCCGCTAGGATGTGAAATCTATTTCTACCCATACTCAAAAGCACTAGTTGTCTGACTGCTCACACGAGTAGTAATTTTCTTCTCCTTATACACAAATACCCTAGGAGATGTTTAGAAATACATTATGGGTCATCCAGGATGACAATGCCTCTGTGCAGGCGACCACATCAACTATCTTCACGCTCCAAGAGGTAAGGTGACCGAACCTGCTCTGTATCTGCATGCTAGAACTGAAGTTCCAGAGGTCATTCTCCAGTCCTCAGGTGATACTGGGTCAATGCTCCAAACCCATCTTGCCCCCCCCCCCCCCCCCCCCCCCCATTTCATGCATGAAAATATGAAAAGCTTTCAAGTTCTGAACAGGGTCATTTTCTAATCACTCTGGTTTCATGTGAAAGATGGTCCCAGGTGCCAGAACTATACAAACCCAACCTTACAGATGACCTGGAATCCCGTTAGCCAAAGTGAAAAGAAGCAGCACAACTCAGGAAATCTTTGACTGCAAACAAATAACATCTTCCCACCTATCTAGAGAAAATGGAACCTAAAAGTACCAAGAGAACTTGTTTTGAAGATCTCCAAGCAGGCAGGTCCATTGGAAACCTAATGCTGACCTGGAGCTATGCACTTATGTGCAAATCTGTTGACGCTAACTGGAATCTGGAAGCTTGTTGTGCTTGCATGTTGTGAGTGCCTGTTAGAGGCACAGCGTGCTTGCCAGTACCTCCAAGAATGCTGCTTAAAATAATAGTCTAGTGCACATACCAGACAGCAGGAGGTAAGAATGCGTTTTATACAGCTTTATTCAAAAAGGCTGCTGCACTCTGGGTTTGAAGTTATCAGAAACAGCAGAGCATGACAGATGTGAGACATTACTTCTTATTGGAGAGAGCATTTGGCTCAGGTTGTGATAGCACTGAGAATGTCTGATGAACAAAAATTATTTTAACACTAGAAAAATGATTTGATTAAAACCAGATGCTATAATGTAAAGAGAGCTGAACAGTATGAATGTGAGGCCAGCATGCTTGACAACTGAAACTGCTGCTGACAGTTGCACAGCACATCTGTCTAATTATTGCCACCCTTACTCCGAGATCTTGCCTAGAAACAGCCACTACTGGCTTTGTTAGGTGTTTACTGTCATAGGAACAAAGCATGCGTGACTTTGCATCATTTCTAAGATTTTAAAACTTCCTGTTGTGATGGGTATTGTCTGCTCTATCTTTTCAGCAGCCACACTCTGAAATTAGCAGCATTAGCAGCAAAGAAGGAACAATTTTCTCACTGTAATGGACTATCCCAATAAACAACTTCAGAAATCCCTCGTCTGTAGGCAGAGACATAATGGTAATTATCTGCATCCCACCTGCAACCTGAGATTAGTCATATTTTCCAAGGCATATTATTTCCTTAATCCTGAACATGACTTCTGTGTGACTCTTAGCTTGGTAGCATGAGCACTTTTCAGGACTCTGGAGGGTGTAGATTTGTGCTTTTGTTGCTGTATCCTATACCAGAGCACCCATCTGTGTGAACTCTTAACACTCCCAAGCAGCATTTTGTGGAACTGTTTCATACTAGAAAAGGTACAAAATTATAATCCAGAAGGCAGCCTAGCAACTAACCTTCCAAAGAGCACTCAAAGTGTACAGACTTGAATAATTATTTAAAAAACCCCAAACCACAACACTGCAAATCCAGATAAAGAAGTCAGTGTAATCAAAACTTGTCTGCCATTTACTCAGAAAGGTGAGGTATTTGAACAAGTTCCCTTTTCTGCACACTTGGTTACATCCATCAGCTCTAGGCACAATTACAGTTCTGCAGTGGCTAAAGAATCAGCTTATTTCCTAAACTCTGCCAGTTTCTTTGAGCCCCACATCATGTTGCTGAATGCCATGCAAACACTCCTTGGTCTCCACCAAGTGGTGCAGTACTGGACCATCTACCTCCTCTGCCAGGCCCCAGGACTTTTCTTCTATTATCAGCTCTTTTCCTTAGCTAACAATTAAGCAGGCAAGATCTTTTGTCTTTGTGCCCAGCCAGAACCAAACAGAGACAGATTTCTGTTCTTTCTGCCATACTGTCCACTTTAAGGCATGATAAAAACATCATATAAGGGGCAGAAGTAGACACAGAAATGACACTGCTTTTCTTCTTTTTTTCTTCACTCCAAGGCTCACCCAGACTGCCTGGTGCCGGAGCCAGCTGTGCAGGCACTAAGCACTCTCCAGATGTTGGAGCACAACCCAGCTGTGCAGGCATCTCTGTTTCTAATTCTGGTCTCTGTTTTTTTCCTGCAGGGGCAACTACTGGTTCCATCCAGTGACTGGTACATGTACCAGAACATAAGCAGATCTTATTCTGTCAATGATCAACTAAGAATGCCGCTGATAGCCACTTCTGTTTTGCTGCAGAAACTTTTTTGTTCTCTGTGAATAACCCAGGAAAGGCCAAACCAGCATGGGAGGGAGCTCTGTGTAAAGGCAAGGAAGCAGGACTTCCAGACGAATAGGAAACTGCTCTCCACCCAGCATCATGCAAAGTCACCGGCAGCTCTGCACGCCAGATGTCACTCACAGCCAAGGCTACCCACACCTCCCAACTCCCTTCTTACCAAACAAGACTTGGCACCAAACGTTAAAAGGAATCAGGCAGCCAGCTGCTTTTAGAGATACACTAAGGATAGACTAAGGCTGGCTTAAGGACTGAAATCAGGATTGTCAAGCAGAAAAGGAGAGATGGTGTGCACAGCCTATAGCCAGGCCCAGTTCAGGTAACCTCACTGTGACCTGTCACCTCTAATAAATACAAATACTGTTGTAAGCTCTGGTTTAGCACAATATCTAAAGTTGATGTTTGCTTTTTTGTTTGGATGCTCATGCTCAGCCTGTCACAGAAAGGATCACAAGAGGCTGTACTGCAAGGCCATCACTCTTACACTGCGCAAGTGCCACACCGAGAGACAGTTCCCACTGTTACTTTTCTGCTCTCAGGCCACCTCTGTATGGTTGCAAACATTCTAATTTTCAACCTTTATTTATTTATTTATTCCCCCTGTCTTTGTTCCACCTCTGTCTCAAAATGTCTGCAACTCTCAGTCCTCCTGGAATTTATTCTCTTAACCAACTTATAAGAAATGATCTTTTCTGGATTTTTGTCTTTCCAGCCTTCTCCATCTACCTGAACAGTCCAGCAGCCTTTCTCCACGTACAAAATAATCTGCTTTTATTTTTCTTATAAATTCTGACCAGCACTGCAATGAGACTAGCCTTGCACTGCAATGTACCCATTACACCAGGATATAACACTGTCCCAGGCTAAATTAAGTGAGGTGGGGAGATGTACAGTCTCAGACACATGATTGTCTGCCATCATGGGCAACGTTAAGTCAACTCTCCCATGCACCTCTGCTATGTAATCCCAGCAAATTCACATTTAATCACATTTAATTAAATTAGCATTGCTACATGCTGTAAGCAAAGGGAGTTCCAAGACACACTGTCTGCTGCCCACAAGGCTTGGAGTGACGACAAAGAATAAGACGGCGTCTTATGAATCCTGCCCATCAGCTGGCAGCTACCTCTGCTGCAGATCGCCCACACTGCTGCTGCAATCTGTTTGTAGTCTCTCCAATAACTGGTTCCTAAGCATATGTCCAGTCTTTAGGAGAGAGCTGCTGAATGCTCACAGGGACATGGTTTAATGGTGGCCTCAGCAATGCTAGTTTAACAGCTGGACTTGATCTTAAAGGAGTTTTCTAACCTAAACAATTCTATGATTCTATGCAATCATGCAGCCCATCAAATGGGAATATAGTCTGCAGGGCTCCTGAACCTAAATGTATCAGAGAGACACAGAGCAGTGCTGAGAAGCCACTGAATTATGACCCATCACACAGGGACACAGGCATACTTGAAGACTGAGAAAATGTACGGACTGAAATGAGTCAGATACCACTGTATTTTTAAAGCAAGGAGCAACAACTCACCTGCCTGC